ATGAAGGCACCTGCAGCAGTTTACTAGGGAGACTGTGGGGCCTGGTGGAGGAAGTGCAATACCCACAGTTTCTGGGGTTATTACACAGTGGTTCTGAGCCAGAAAGTCCCTTATAATTTATTAATTAATGCTTATAGAAATCAGATGAAAGCTGGAACCTTGGTCCATACCCATCTAACAGTGAGTCTGATGGCTTTATTATGTGATACTTCCCCTAGTCTCAGAATGTATCATGAGAATAGTTAAACAAATTAATTGGCAGGATCCCACAAGACTCCTACACTGTTAGAATGCATGATATAGTAGGAAGTGTCAGCTGGAAGCCCCTAGAACTGCACTCTGGGGAAGTGCAGAGATCAGTGTCACCAATGATGTCTTGAGACATACAAGGAAGATACCCTACTACTTCTCCATTGACATTACCTGTTTGGCTGATGCAAAGACTAAATGGCCCTTGGGGTGTTACAGTGGATTGTTGCAAACTCAGTCAGGTGGTGTTGACAGCTGCACAATTATTTCCGTACATGGTCACTTTTTTTTTTCAGATGTGGTAACTTTTGTGGGCACACAAAATACAACACAGGGCATTTAGTGTGAAGGTATTTATCTGGTAGATGATTTCTTTCTATTCTAGTCAGTATGAAAATTCAGAAGCAGTTTACTCTTAAGAGACAGGAACAATACCAGCTTATAATATTTTGCCCCAGGACCATGTCACCTGTCCTACCAGCTGTTAGACTATAGTCCTGAGTGTCCTTGACCACCTTTGTATTCCATAGGATGCCATGACTAAGACTCTGAAGTCACAATGCAACAGAATTTGATTAACATGAAACAAGTCACAGGGTGGAACACAAATACTGCACAGGTCCATGGGTGTGGGGGTCTAGGAATCTAATGCATATCAGGATAGCTAAAATTTTTTGGCAACTTTTTGCTTCTTGTGCTACCCTACACAAAAAGGCACACTGTTTTTGTACTTCTTTGTGACAGTATGAAACACATATCATATAACTTGAAAGGCTGAAAATTTTGAATAGGACCTGGAGCATGAAAGGGGTCTATGCTACAATATAAGCTTTGGGCTTTATGATCCAGAAGAAGCCCATGTATTGGAAGTATCTACAGCAGTATGTGACATGTAGCCAGGCCAGTGAGGAGAGTAACAGAAGAGATCTTTAGGGTTTTCTTTGTGAAAAGTAATTCATTTTGACAATTTCCTCTTGCCTCCATGGGTCCTGATAGAGACAGCATGCCTTACCACTGGAGGCTAAGTGGTTAATGCTATTTGAGTGACCCGGCATGGACTACGTGATATACACCCAATTTACTGAACCAGAAAAATGAACATAAACAATAGCAAAGGAAATTATTACATATGGTACCAGGAATTGTAGAAGCAACTGGTTCAGATGTCCATGTAATTCTTCTTTGTAAGTTTGATGACTTTTCCTCAGTCCACCGTATTTGTAATCACAGGAAGTCCTTTGTGAGTAGATTGCTAGATATCCAGGTCTGTCCTAGGTAGTACTAGTTCATACTGTTTTCCAGCATGTTGGTTAATGACATGCCCTTTCATTGTCAAAAGTGTCCCAGATAGTCGATTAAAAGGCTACCCTGCCTGTGACCAATTTATGGAGAGGAAAGAGTGTGTTTCTGGTTTGTGGATTTCTGTTTGGCGTTCAGGTATCAACTAGAAATGGCCAGTCAGTATACATCATTCAGTGAGCAGAATTTTAAATTAGGTATCTGGTTATCTATTTTGTGTGGGAAGGGAGATGACCTAAGAGATTGAGTTACTGACCTCAGGTTCTCTAGATTGACCACCTAATCAAGGATTTGGAAAGAATAAAATTGGAAGATTGGTGATAAGGAGGTATCAGGTTAATAATATTCCTTAGTTATTGCAGATTGATCAGGTCTGCAATCTCCCAAATGAGTATATGGTGAAGGCTAAACAACAAGAGGCACATGGAATGATTTCAGGGCTCCAGAAGGATCAAAACCCTCTCACAGAATTCAAGATTCTCTCGGGGCTAAGAACAAGACCTTCTCTGGGGGGTCCTGTATTTGTTTGGGTAACAGAAGAATGGAGGGGAGTACTCAAAAAGGGTGGAATCACTCATGGACTTCTCCAAGTAAGGTGTTAACTTAATCTGTAATAAGGATTAGGTTAACACCCCCAGGAATGAGATGCCTGAGGCTATAGTCTTTATCTAGTTGAGATTGGATCCAGGTGTCCTTGGCTGTGATCTTTTTTATCCTTTGAGAATTTCTGGCTTCATCCACCATTACAGGTTTTAGTAGGGATGAGTGACTCACAGAGGTTCACTTACTATGAGTCTACCATCCATTTCCAGACAAGGAGCCTAGGCCTTGGACAGATTCACAAGTGAACAAATTAATTTAAGTCCTACTCAGGGCTGCTTTGTAGTGGTCTCCATCAAGGAAGATCTAAAAAAGGTTGTTCAAGAAGACCTCTCTGAATGGGGCATGGTATAAAGATATTTATTTCTCATGTGTTTACATGCCTCATAGAGGGAAACTACAGGAGGAGAAATTCCCCATAATTAAGATAGTTCTGCTTATGGGTGACATTCAGCCTCTTTCCCTGACAGCGTTGGTGTCTGCTCAGTGTGCCAGTGTTCAGAAAGACTGTGGTGGCAAGGACAGAGGTCACTGAAGACTCTACAACATGCGATCCCTGCTCACCAAAATTGAGGTAGCTATTACTACTAGTTATCAAGTGCCCAGCCTACTAATAGCCAAAGTGAACTTTGAGCCGTGAGGTGGCAACATTTGTCAGCACATGTGGTCTCACATAAGCTGGCTGTGCATTTCAAAGAAGTACCAGAAGGGCCAGGGATAGAGATTGAGAATGGAGGGTGCCCGGGGTTCCACCTGCCTTGCACACTGATCTGAGCAATGTAGTTGAGGATAGCAATATGCAATGTAGCAACTACTGTTGATTCATATTATTTTGTCTTGAGACCCTGTATCACTTTGAATGTTCTTGCTTTGATTTGTTTATGCCCGTGATACTACTACACTGCTACTGTTCTATTTTTTTGTTTGTTTGTTTCTCATTTACTACTCTCTTTAAAATGAAAGAAAAGAAATTGAGAATGGAAGGGCACAAATTCATGAGATAATGGGAACAATTCCATTCTTCCATTGTTACTATTGCTGTTTGGCTGATGATTTTTTTTTTTTTTTTCTGGTATGGGGAATCAAACTCACGACCTCGCACTTGCCAAGCAAGTGCTGTGCTGCTGAGCTAAATCCCCAGCCCTGGGCTGATGATCTTTAAGAAATAGATCCGTTGGAAATGAAGGAAACTATTGTGATTCAGCAATTCCATGTATTTGCCTTATTTAATTCTTATAATAATTCTTATAATAATAGGTCCTTTAAAATAAAAACATAGAAAGATGAAGTCTCATAGACCCCAAGATATAATATCAAGGTCTGAACCCAAATCTATCTTTGACTTCGCTGATTCTTATGAGGCTGTTGGGCACGCTAAGGTGAGTCTTGCTTTCTGCTGGCTACTATGGAAGTCATTCTCCTGCCCTCACGCTTTGGCTGGAGTGACCTGATGGTTGGCAGCCCCAGCCTATGGAGAGGGATGAACAACATGCTTTGCTAAGGCTCCTGAAGAATGCCAGGTTGGTGATATCTCAGGGCTCTCTTTCCTTGGGGACATCCCCCGAGCTCTTCATCAGGGAACAGAGGAGACTGAGTTCCATGGAGTCTAAGACCTGGGCCGGACAACTGAAAAGAAAGTGGAGAGAGTGGAGCTGGAGGCTAATTTTCAGGGCTGACTGGATCTGGGCTTGTGATCTCTCACTTTGGGTGTGTAGCCTTGCCTTGGTAACAGCAAGGGTCATTTTCTACAGCCCCTTCCCCATGTTACACTTCACAGACTGAACTAATTCCCACATGGCTCTGGTGGTTTTTCTTCTTGGGGGCCTCATTCTGCAGATGTTTTTGATACCATCCTGTAGAAACTTGTCTGATCCCTCCCAGGCCCTCCAGTGCCTCTTAAGCTAGATTAGATGCCCAGTCTCCGTGGTTTTGGGGCACCTTGTATTTGGTCTTTTCATAGTGCTTTGCACGTGTGCTGTAGCACTGGGCATGCCTATTTAACAGTGTTGCTGTGAGACAGCACATGTGAAGTAACTGAGCTTAGCTTAGAGCAGTTGACTTGTTATTACTGTGATAATTTCTCTACTTGCCAGTCATGCCCCTTGTGACATGTGAAGGGCAGGGCTGTGTGCGTGATCACTGCATAGTGCCTAGGATTTGGGTAGATATTCAGTAAACTCTGAATGAAAAAAATGGATGAATTGAATAACGTGAGTTAATGAATAGCAAAGGTAAGGGGTGCTTATGCTTTTCTTAACTATCTTCATATAAATAATAAGCATATATTCCTGATATATCCAGTGAGAAAAAATTCTTTATTTAAAATAGGCTAATTGTTTTTCTTTTACTAGATTAAATAAAATATTCTACAAATGAGAATTGTAATCCAATATACGAAACCCAGTAATACCAGTTAGGGGTTCTACACCAATCCCCATCTCATGAAGTTTAAATGAAATAGCTGAGAATTCTGAGACTATGTGCCTTTGCTTAGAAAGAAAAACAGTACCACATTTTCTGGATATAATAGTGTTATGCACACAGGAGAAATCCTAAAATGACTAAGACAGCTAAGAAACAAGCTTATTAAATGCGGAGACTCTCAGACTTGCTCTGGCGTTATTAATGGTATTTCTAAATCACGGAGACAGTCGACACATTTTATTTCAATAAGAGAATGAAAGCAGGGAGGGGACCTAAGCTATTTCTAGCCACTTGTATTTATTGACACATGCGTGGTGCTCTCAGCGCCTGTGCGGCAGGAGGGTAGCCAGTGTTTGGCGGAGAGGTACACTACGGGGATGAAGGTGGGCAGCCCGTGCACACAGAAGCGGGCTGCGGGCTGAAGGCGGTCAGGGCTCTTGGAAACGCCACGGATCATGCATCATCTGGGGGTGGCGGGCTTTGTTTCCTGGCACCAGTGTTTGTGGAGTGTCTGGGGTCATTGTGGTTTCCATGGTAGCTTCTCCCAGGGGTGTGGTGACATCAGCACCATAGGTCTCATAAATCTCAGCTAATTCGGGGGTCATCAGAGGATCAGCAGTTACCGGGGTGACCTCAAGGGGTCTCTTCCTCTGCCCTGAGGGGCCCCTTGCCATGCTGGGGACATTGTCATTAGGGAAGCCAAGCAGCCCTGTGCGGGCGCCGGGTGCTATCTGTGAAAGAAGAGCTGCATTTTCGGCATCCTCTGCCTTGGTCTCGTGCAGCGGGGAGCCTTGTGTCCCTCCTTCTCCCTTCTCGGGGCCTTTGGTTGCAGCTGGGGAGTCGAATTCCAGAGTGAAGTCTCCAGCCATGGTTGGATCTTGGGGCATCCTCCTGACGGTGTGCCTCACGCCTGCAAATCCTGGCAGCAGGGCTCCGTAGGTCACGGGGCTGGCTCTTCCTCCCTGGAGATCAAATATTTGTCAAAGACACCGTTATTATGGGCCACTGACCATGCCATTGCAGTTATACCTGAGAACCTAGAAAAAAGCTGATAGACAACAGGGAGCTGGCTGACAGCTTTGTGTGAGCACATTAGTTGTGAATCTGGCTTCAAAATACACAGGAGAGGGTTCTGCACATGTCTGGGTAGGGGAGGCGACTTCCGCAAAAGGTGGAGATCCTTCCCCACTTAGCTGGACAGGAAGAAGGGGAGCAGTATGGCAGCCGAACAGAAGCAAGGCTTGAGACAGTTTGAGTTCAGTTGGAAGAAAACAATAATCAGTTGAAATGGATGCTACTGTCATAAATAAACAGACACTAGCTTCATCACTACATCTGTGGAGGGTGCTTTGCAGGATTTTGTCATGGTATTTGTGAATGTCCTCCAAATGAATGAAGCCCCATGTGAGGATTTTTCTCATTTTCCCCTCCCTATACCCTTCCCTCTCTCCCTCTGTTCTTTCTCTGCCTCACCCTCCCTTCCTCCCCCTTCCCTCCTTCCCTTTCTCTCTCCTTCCTCCCCTCTCTTCTTTCTCTCACTTTGTCTCCTTTTACAACAAGTATTAGAAAAAGCCCTATTTCTTTGGAGGAACTAAGTGGGAACCAATATCTTGAACTATTTGCAACTGAGTATAGCTGTGTGACTTGCACTTTCATGTTCTGATAACCTCATAGTTTGGACACTTAGAATCCTACCTTCAGTTTTTTGTTGTATTTATTGTGGGTGTTTCATAAGCTACCACAAAATCTTTGGAGAATTAGACAGAATATTATGAGATTGTAATTGGCCCTTGAACTTCTGATTTCCAGTCTGCCATGTAGTGCTGGAGACGCTGTGTTCTTTGCTTCTACCTTCTCCTGGTTCCTTACTGAGTCTCGGCTTTCACAACATCTCCTCCAGAAATGCCACTGTGACTCCTGCCCTGCGCTCTCTTCCTTACTTCCTATTTCCCACTGATGATATGGTTGTTTTTTCTAGCTCATGGCTTGGACATTGTGTGCACTACTTATCTCTTCCATTTGTTAGACTAGCAGCTCCTTCTCAACAGGAGTTGGATTGGTCTTGTCTGTGGGGTCCTCCTTCATGCAAGCCACACAGAAGGCCCTCAGAAATGCTGAGGAGTGTTCTTTTGGGGGAAGCACGCATGTGCTTTTAGTAATTTGATTTGATAGGCTGTGTAGTTAACAATGACTTGTTAATTCAGTGTGGCTTTTATTTTCTTTTGTACTCTAACAGATATAAGAGGTACAAATTTCCAAGGGAAAAAGTCAAGCTGTATGAATTAATAGATCTCAGATCTTATAATGCCTATGGATAATAACAAAGTAAGACTGTACTTCCCGACTTAGTGCACTTCAAAATTTTATAATAATCAAACTTTAGGGTTGGATAATTTTATTTCCCTTTTAGACTTTAATTTTGAGTTGTATTTTATTCTTGCTGCCGCTGAGTTGGGTCTTTTGGAGGGTAGATGGCCCTAGAAGGAATGGGAATCCTATATGCACCACACGTATCTTTTTGATTGAAGCCCTTGCTGGTCAGTGATGGTGGTCGTTCAGGGGAGATAGCACTTCTGTTCATATAGAAGGGCTGAGGTAAAGCCCTGTGCTCGAGGACGGCCTCACTCAGAAATAAATGGCTATAGGACACAAGATGAGAGCTTTGGATACTGCCTCAGAATCAAGCATTTGGTTCTGGAGTAGAAAAATCTGAGTCTTGAGCTCCTTTAGCTACTTTCATCACCAGTGTCTCCTGTAGCCGGTCATCTCTGACTGTCTGTCCCTGGCCACCGTTTTCCGAAGAGTCATAAGGTGCTACTTACGGGCATTTCTTCTGAACTCATGAAGCCAAGTCTTGCTGCAGGGGCACTCTGTTCAAAGGGAACAGTGCATCAGATCACGAACCGGCCGCCTCCTAGTACCCTCCTAGCTACTCATGACCAATTCCAGGTCACTCAGCCTTCCCCTGACCCTTAGCATTGATGCTGTGGCCAGCGGTGGCGTGGAGAGTCAGTTTGCCAGATCTAAAATTTACTTTTCCTGTAATGCCTTTGTGTGTATGTCTGGCCAGAATTCTCCAAATAGGAAATGTGCTTCTGTAGTATTTCAGTTGCTAATGTAGCCATTTAGGCAATATTTACTTGGAATGTCTTGTGTGAAGTCTGAGTTTTTGTAATTTTGCCTCTTAAGACAACATTTAAATAAAAATGATACCTTTTATAGAATAAACTTACCAGTTGATTTGTTCCATAGGACATGTAAAGCATTCCAGGATAAAGCTAAACAAAATAAAATAGTTATCACAAAATGCGTTTTCCAAGGACAGCAACTTTTAAGTAAATTGCAAACAGAGAAATGGCATTAAAAAAACTTACTGTAGGTGGTTTATTTTGTGGCACTAGCACCCGTGGTACGAAACGGGCTATTTGGAACACCTTTAAGTGGTGGAAAACAAAATAAATAATTCACACAGGCAAATCCCTACTACAGTAGTTTCTAAGAATTATATTAAACATATTTGCAGATAGTTTAGTTTGAAAAATTAGTACTTGAGATTTGAGAAAGCAAAGGGACTCATAATACTTCATAGATAAATGGGATGATTTAAAAATTTTATTCAACTTTTATGAAATATAGAGTTGCTCCCCCCCAAGAAGGTGTGTCATTGAGATCTGTACTTACTGATGAAATTTGTGGATCTGCAAAGTCCAGTACTGGGAGCTGTATCAGAGACGAATATTAAAGTTAACAGCCAAGGTAGACAAACTCACACCCTTATCTTGTTTATAATTACAGGAAGGCATTTGTAAGATGCGTTTCATGTTCTATTTTCCTTTAGTCTTCTGAGGGGATGACCTAGGAGTTTACATGGTAAATGACTGCAGCTACTGGCAGGGAGGTGAAGCATGGCCGTCATGAATTTGCTATAACACATTTTTGAACTGGAACCTACTTGTTTGGTTTGAATTCTGGCTCTGCCACTTAGGTTTTATTTAGCCCTGGGAAAATTCCTTATCTATCTTTGTAAGACTGTAGTTGGGGTGACGTGGGGGAATGGGGACTGTGAAATGTCTGCAACCTGCTAGTTATGTGGCACATTCCTTTTTCTGTCCATTGTTCTCTTGTTACATTATTACTAGGTACTTTTACATGGTTGTCATCTCTCCACTGAGAGATAACATGTATTCCTATTGTTATACAGAGGAGTACGTGTCCTCAGTCTTTCCAACACACACACACACACACACACACACACACACACACACACACACACATCATAGCCTGGACTTCCCTAGGCTTTCCTGTTTCCTGTGGAAGTTTTCATCTTTTGCAACTAAGAAACCAAGTTTTACAGGCACAAGATCTTTTAGAATCTGTACCATCTCTGATGGCAAAGATCAGAAAAATAGGTGTTTATGTTCTACTAAAAAAATGTTTAGAATAAAAGGCTGCTTGATAACATATGTTACTGCGTTTGGCCGAGGGCTGTGATTGTTTAAATGTGGTTTGCAAATTGGTTTTCATTCATTAGCTAGGTAGGTGACCCTAAGGATGACCTAAGCGAGGGCTTTCACTCAGTGGTGGAGGGCTCACCTGACCTGCGCAGGCCCTCGGTTCAATCCCCAGAGCCTCCCGTTAAGTCGATGGGGAGATGAGGGAGGAATTACCTCAGGGTTTAGTGGCATGTCTGTTGGGGCCACTTGCTGCTGAGCCTCTGGCAGTTCTCCGTCCTTCAAGGGCAGCTGTCTGGGGTGCATCGGAGGCTGAGGCCCTCCCTTCGGGGGTGCGTCTTGGACAGCAGGGGTAGCAGTGGGCTGCTGGAAAGGCTTCAGTCCTGGTTGTGGAGGCTGCTGGGGTGGCTGAGATGGGAGAGGTGGGGGGTGCACCGGCACAGAGTACTCGTACTGTGGAGAGATGGGCAACGTGTCAGCAGGGACGTGCCCTGCACGGTGGTGTCTGGAGCTTGTCTCACAAAGGCCTTGGGTGCACTCAGCATGCACGGGGGCTAGGGACATGTCTCGAGGCAGAGGTTGCAGAAGAAGCTGAGACAGCGTCATTTGATAAAGCACTGTGTGTGCTTGTCTCCTCTGCCTCCTTTGGGACCGCCGTTGCTCAGGGGGACGGAAATCTACCTGAGCCTTTTGGTGCAGGGAGCCGTTTCTTCTTCTTGGCTATAGTGACTACTGTATGCATCTTCATTTTGCAACTCTGTTATTGAGCTGTAATTATTTGTCATAAATCCTTGTCCCCCAGTTAAGTGAAAGATATATCATTATCTATCTATCTATCTATCTATCTACTTTTTTTTTGAGACAGGGTCTTGGAATTGAAAGCTCCTGTTAAAACCACTATTTTTTTTTTTTTTTTGCTTTCTTTAGAGATCACTCATGAATGACAATATCACTGGTAGATCAGCTGCAAACTCCTCAATTGGCAGGGACGTTTCAGAATTATTTGCTCGGCTTTGCCACAATAATTGCCTGTGTTTAAACTCCCATGGTATTCACTTGTTCTGCCTCACAGTTTAACATCATGAAGTGTGTTATCTCATCTCTCAAGCAGGTTTGAAATGTCCTGAGCCTGGGAGGCACTCTAAAGTGTGTCAACCTTCGCTCTCGAGCACAATTTGGTTAATATACTTGTTAAGCACCTGATAAACATTGTTAACAGGTTGATTTGTGGATTTTTAAAGGGTTCATTAGGTTTTAACCAGGATTTTTGTCATCATTTGAAATTTGCCTTTGAATAATTACTCAGAAAACATTGTTTAAGGTGAAAATTGTCCAGTCTGCTTTCGTTCTTGAGGATTGCTTATCTGTTGTTATTGCTGCTATCTTTAAGATAGATCTCTTGTATTTTGGAAGCCATATCTTTCTATCTGAAATAAATGCTCTAATGGTTGAAATTTTTAGATAGTTTCCTAAGTGATAAAAACAGTTATAGAATTTGGTATTACTAAAATTATTTTAAAAATTACTGGTTCTTTTCTATTGCTGGTACATCATAACTTCCAGAAGGCAAGCAGGGAAAGATATCAAAGCTTGAAGTTCCAAACACATTGCTGCCATCAACTTACCTGTTGGGTTTCATGTTCTCTGGGTCTCAGCCATGGGAAAGACGACGGTGGTGGAAGGAGACCTTGCAGCCACAAAGAATTAAGTGATTTTCCCAAGCCAAGCCTAGAATACTGAAGATGTGGGGAAAAAATGAACATGCACACATGTTAGTGTTATGAATGCAAAGTAAAAGGGAAAGTCATGCTGGTCAATGTGAAACGAGTGGGTAAATTCTCCCTTCCAACAGACGGAAAGTCCGCTCTGAGAGAGACTGAAGTATTTTTATGAGTTTGTTTGAGCTCTTTAGGTACTGCTGTTTTGGCCGTATAATAAAATCTATAAGTCATGAAAGGTTTTTTTTGTCTAATGAAAATTCAATATTGTTTTTATTTTTCCCCGGTCACACTACCTTATTTTGTTTTAGGCTATTTCAATTACTTATTTGTTCTTTCATCATTTAGGATATTGCCTATTCATAAACAAATGTTATGAATTACAGTGCTGCTGCTACCACTGCCACTTTAATTAATATTTTCAAATATTAATAGGAATATTTGAAAATATGATTACCTGAGAAAGTGCGTTTAATCCTTGCAAACTTCCCAACTGTCTCATTGTCTGTCAAGAAAAAAAAGGTGGGTTAGTGTTTATCCCATGCATTTTCTATTCTTTTGGTGCAACTGATTTCTTGGGACAACATCATCAAGACAAACTTGGGGTAGGAAATTTTGAATAAAGCAAAAGTGGACACAACTTATCTGTGAGAAATTATGTAAAAACTGCTGCTGTTGTTGTTTTATTAAAATAATGAGCTTTTAAAAAAATAATTGATTAAAGGAGAAAAAGTATGAGTTAAAAGGGTCACATTGAAAATGGAAAAAAGCTCATTTAATTAAAATAAATATAAAGATAATTGTGAGGATATTGTTTCATTAACTTTCCCCCTCCACGTGAATTACTTTGTCTCTTACAAATTCAGCCTGAAAAGGAAAAGAAATTTGAACAAACAAAACAAAACAAATCAATTTTTGCTGTTGTCCTCAACAAAAAGGCCTCAAAATAATGCATATAAAAAACCCTGGAGGAAAGAGTATCTGGGTAGACTGTCTAGAATGCTGCCATTATTCCATCAGAAAGTCAGTTCCACTTTTTAAACGGGAAGGTAGAGTGTTTTATATTCAAGTTAGAAAGGGAGAAACTTGGTGACTGCGTAGATTATTATGATACAAAATTCTGTAAAATCTGTGAAAAATTGTAATATTTATCACCTCACAAATATTGAAGTATAACTGTCAACTTTTTAATTGATATGGTCAAAATTTTTCTATTTTGGGGAGTTTTCTAAACAATGGATATTATTTATAAGAACTACAATGAAACAAAACTACACAGGAAGTATAGTACAGTGTTGCTGCTACTTTTTATTAGTGTGAGTTTGCACAACGTAAGAATTAGTTCATTCTGGAGAAGTGGTGCTCATACACACCACATCTCAATCGTTTTGCTCCTCTTTCCTGCTCTTTCTTCGTGGGTCCTCTACCCATCTCCACAGAGTCTACCTCCTATTTCCTACCATATCATTTTTAATTTTTGCTTTTTAAATCAAGTCTCATATTAGAAAAACCATTTACAGTTTAACCTTTCTGTGCCTGACTTATCTCCCTTAGTGTTATTATGGTCTCAAGATCCATCCATTTTCTCATAAATAACTTACATTTATCCTTCTTTATGGCTGAGTAGTACTACATTGTGTATATATACTACATTTTCTTTATTCACTAGGCTACTTCCGAGATTTAGTTATGAATTTTGCTGCTATAAATATGGTGTACATGTATCACTGTAAAAAGATAACTTTAACTCAGGAAGATACCCAGAAGAGGTATAGGTGGATTAAATGGAATTTTTATGTTTAATTTTTTGAGGAATCTCCATACTGACTTCCGTAGTGGTTGTACTGGTTTACACTCCTACCACCAGTGTAAAAGGGTTTATTTTCCTGACAACCTTGCCAGCATTTGTTGTTTTCTGAGCTCTTGAAAATAGCTATTCTTACTGGAGTAAGGTGGAATCTCAGTGTTTTTTTGATTTGGGTTTTTTTAATGGCCAATGATGCTGAACATTTTTTTGTGTACTCTGACATTTGCATTTCTTCTGAGAAGTGTCTGTTCATTTCAATTGTCCATTTTTTTATTGCATTTCTTTTGGACGGGGTCTGTTTTTTTGAGTTCTTTATATATTATGGATACTAGGCCCCTGTCCAAGGATTAGCTGGCAAAAATTTCTTTCTACTCCATAGTCTGTCTTCCTGGCATCATATCCTGTACAATTGTTAATACTACTTATAGTGCTTCTTATAAACATTTAAACTTTGTACAGTGAGCTTCTGCATGAGAACTTTATCATGTAAGATATTATAAACAACAGGGCTAAATATAAACCATTTGTGACCATAGGAGAAAATACTTTAATTAAATGTAGTGATTATGTTAATATATCTGTAATATATACAAGGTATTAGCAATTAGTATTGCTTTGATTCACACACAGATGATGTTCTCAAACATAAAACATCTAAGATATTAAAATTTTGGTTGACTTATAAAACTTTAATAGGTATCACTGACTACTCCAGAATAGCTCAAGATGATAGCTATAGCTTGTGACTAGGAAAACTCAGAGTCAATGCATTATATCTCCCCACAATCAGGAACAGATCAATGTGAAGATTACATATGAAGTCTTTAGAATTACTTACCTCCAGACTCAAACTAGCCATGCCAGGTGGTGCCATGTTTGGTGCTCCCGGTTGCTGAGGAAATGCCTGAATGGAAATAAATACTTTTGAGTTCTCTTGGCAAGAAGCTTCTTTGAATGTATCCATGGAATGCCTGCTGGGAACAGGAAATCCCCTAGTCTACAAGGGCTAGCCCAGGGTCTGCCATCTTGGCTTACTATTCAAATCACTTGGGCTTTTGGACAAAGCATGGACAAATTTATTTGGGATAATTATAAAATGTAATAACTTTGCTCCCAAATGAATCACCTATCTTTTGTGTGCATCTGAATGCCATGTTGCTTTAAAAGCAAAATTTTATTTAGTTTACCCAATCAGAAATATAATAAAGCAACAAAATATAGAACTAATCATACTTTAAAACAAATCATACTTTATATAAAACTAATCATACTTTATAGCCATCAAAATATAAAACTAATCATACTTTATATAAAACTCTGGTACCTTGGGGATGCAATCCCAGCATTCTGGGAGGCTGAGGCAGTAAGATTTCAAGTTTGAACGCAGTCTCAACAATGTAGTGACTTAGTGAGTCACTCAATAAAATTAAAAAAAAAATAAAAGGGCTGAGGGGGCTGGAGGTACAGTTTAGTGGCACAGCACCTGCCTGGCAAGTGTGAGGTCCTGAGTTCGATTCCCAGTACCAAAAAAAAAAAAAAAGGACTGAGGTTGTAGCTAAGCACAAAGGCCCTGGGTTTAATCCCAGCACCACAAAAAAGAATATTTTATATTCTTAAAGATAATTACATAAAAAAGTAAAAGACAGACTTGAGCTGAATTTTCATGTGCTTTTCAAAAACCTATACGCTTTAGGCTTGTGGGACATAGTGTGAGATCACAGCACTGAGAAAACTGATGTGCAAAATCTGAACTGCTTCGTATCCAAAGGGTGTCAATGAGTCCTCCGTCACCCTTGGTGAAAGAGGATGAATAAACCTGCTGATCCATGTTTATACTTTTAGATCATATCAAAGGTATTCTTTTCTTAAATAAAAAGTATTCTATCTCTAAGTATTATGCTATTATACTTAATGTATTCACTTAAAAGTCATTGAAAACACAGCTATATTTACAACTTGCTTTTTAAAATGCGAGATATTTCCCTTTCTAAAGTTTTCTAGTATTTTCATGTGTTAATATGCACAAATACCAGTGGGGAGAAATGGGGAATGGAAGAGTAGGAATTAAAGTAAATTGGATTTTGAGAAGTTTTAGTTCCTTTGGGTGTTCTCACAATCTAGTGTCAGGAGATTGAAATGCCTTCCTTCCTTCATTTAAACCCTAAGTGCTGATGGAATATCTACTGAATACATTGGGGCTACTTTTCCTTTGGGGGTAAGAAGGTCAGGAATTCCACCCCGTAGTATTTCATCCCCTAGGTTTTCATATAAATAAAAGTCCACTTTCTGAGTCATAGTGCAAATTTTTCCAAGTCATGAATTGCGGGAAGGATATTACAAATGTGTATTAAACCTTCTGGGCTGAGAAGAGGGTAGCTCAGTAGCAAGGAAGAGTGTCTGTGGTGCCCGTGTGTACGTGGGGGAACTTGTGTGTGTGACAGGCAGCTTGTCAGAATTTGTGGGGACTGTAAGAGCAGAGCGCCCTCCATTGGCCAGTACAAAGAGCACATTTGGGCAGATCCAACTGCAGAAAAGTATCCTTTCCATTTGCTCCAAGTCATAAACAAAGAACAATAGTGACATGAATGTAAATAGAGGATACATTTTCCATGAGGAGTGAAAAGGAAAAGAACACCTGATTCAGTGTTGGCAGTTGTCCTGTTTCTCAGAATGGATCTGATTAACTTAGATATGGATGAGTATAAGTTCAGAGTGTGATACATTAGACTGCCGGCCGGAAGACTAGGTGGCCACCAGTGTCAGTATCATACAAAGAAAAGTTAGGGTGGCACCTTTAGTTTTTCTTTTAAGCATTACTTTTGGAATATTTTAAATATTATATGTAGTAGAAAAATTGTATGTTTGATGTACTGCTTTTGGGTGGCCAAGGTAACGTCTGGGAGAGTGTGACTTCTGATTCCACAGCAGCTATCCCACTGGATCAGAAGCAAATGAGTCCACACATGAACCTCAGCCAATGTCCCTGCTGTGTTTCTTGGCACCCAACAATCCAGAGTGCATCCAAGGCCTGCTTGAGAAGACAGACTTACCGGCACTGCAAAACTCATCTTCAGGAGAGACAGGAGCAGCATCAGGTCCTTCATTTTGAACAGTGGAATCTAAAACACAGTTGGGTTGGAGAACTAAATCAGATGAACTTTTACTTCAAAATGGTTAAAAGACATTTTTAAAAAAAGCATCTGAGTCTATTCTTCTAAAACAATCAGGTTTTAAAAACCAACAAAAAGCAGGATGTCACTATACAGTTGACTTATACTTACTATGTTCTGGAATGAATTGATAAACAACTAAAAGTATTTAAGCACTTTTTAATGGTACTACAGTCTAAGTGAAGATTTAGGGACCACCCCCATGGACATTCTCTAAATGCTGTGCTTCAACTCACAAAATAAACATGAATTTAAAAACACCTCCTTTAGATGAAACACTGGTCTATCAAGTACCATTCATAGGAATTTCCACTTTGCCTGATCTCTGGGATGAATTTGAAATGCACTTGAAATGTAATAAACCATTACTTCTTAACAAACCTTTATTGTAGATATTTGGAATATCATTTGATGTTTAGGTTATCTGCATAACCATGCCAAAACTTGTCTTTTACAAATTAGAGGAAGTCGAATATGTTAATTTCCTTTGCTATTACTGGAAAATATATCCTAATACATTTTGGTCTTTATTCCTGAAAGGAATTATCTCTTTATTTGATAAATTTGAAAGGCTCTTTGCTTTTATATGAATGGAAGTCTGACTAACAAGAGATTTGCTCAACTTTTAATACCTTTTAAATAGCCACTGACACTAATAATCACAAAGAGTTAAAAAAAGTCTACAGACAAATCTTTTTTTCTTAGCTGGGTGGGTGTTAGTCATGTCTTCTGGACCATGCTAATGGATTACAATAAGCTATTATTTAGCACCTTGTGATAAGTGAAGATAAATCCACCCTGGAGATAGGAAAAAGAGCGTACAGAAAACACGGAAATCATAAAATCATGTTTTACCTTAGACGGTGACATTCACAGTGTTCTGAGGGCCTGCTGATGCCAATCAAGATACTTCTAAGAAAAGAAGATTAAAGTTTTTTTCTGCACAGTGCCCGGGACACTCTCTGTATCTCTCATTCACGGAAGATCAGAAACCTTTATTTAAAGTGCCAATCCACCAATCAAAGTGGAGCAAAATGGAGGAAAAAAAATCCGTGCTCCTGAAATTAGTCCACACCCTTTTATTGCATGCGAGGACATTGGCCCTGTAGGGTCTCATTATTTTTAATTGCAACTCAGGGCCTGTATTTATTCAGAGTACTTGATTGCAGGGAAGACAGCAAGGGAATAATGGACCTAGGCTCAGAAGACAATCATTTTGGGGAGCCGGGGGAAATATATGTAAAATAGGTGCAAAGCAAGCCATTATCTGTTTTGTGCAAGTGTTTATCTGTAGATAAAGCTAGTGACCCAGTGCGGCATTCTCAAGATTTTCCCTCACCTGCGTGCTGTGGTGAAAGTAACTCCCTTCCCTTCCCCAACACACACACACACACACACACACACACACACACACACACACACGCATACTCTAGAGGGAAACACAAAAATACCTTCCTGGGTTTAAAACAGAAGGTAAAAATGTGCAATGGACGATAAAAGTGATGTGGAATTTTTGTTCAGAATCTCTGAAGTATTTTCATATCTGAAGATATTAATTAAAGCTAGCTAAGCTTTGGGATCACCTGGATAAATCTTTGGTACTTTGAGAAGAGAGGGGAGAGATTCAGAATATTCTGTGAACAAAGCAAACCATTGGGCCCAAGTCTCACTTTTGAGGTAGTTCCATTTTAGGCATTACTATTAAGCCAAGTTGATAAGCCTTACTTAAAGGGTCACTTAAAAGATTAATATCAACCTAGGTGAGTTTTTCTCTATGAACAGATAAAAATGCCATAGATACAGATAGAACTTCAGCTGCCTTAGTTCTTTCTCTCTCCTCTTAGTCTCTCCAAAGCTGTGATTTCACGTATGGTAGGGCTGAGCATTTGAGATTCATTTCTGAAGAAAGGATGACTCAGTGCACTCTTGGGAAGTAGAGGTCTTGCCAATTACAGGGAACACTGAGAAAGCTGGTGTTTTGGGAGAAATACATCTCCATACCTAAGTGCAGGCCTAATAGCTTTAAATAATGTTATTTAAGAAGTTGTCCCTAAAACACTGCTTCTCACACTGACAGCAGCATTATCTCAAGGATGCAAAGAAATGTCAGTGTGTTTTGTAAATACTGTTATTGAAATAAATAAACATATTTATTCTTTCTCTCTTCTTCCCCTCCCCACCCCTGTTCTTTATCAAGTTACTTAGTTTCTTTAATCCTGTTTCTCTACAACGTTAGGGTAAAAATTTACTGTCACAGACTCGTCTTGAAAATTTGTTGAGATGATGAAGAGGCATCACCTGCCAAACAGTGAGTACTCAGGAAGTGGGGTGACTGTCCTGCTTTGGGGAGACACCACAGGAAATGTGGAGCCACAAGGATACTGTGGTGTGGGTGCATGTGTGGGACAGGGTTTCACTAAGTCACTAAGTGGTGTGTCTTGATGAGTTTGGACCCGTGCATGTACCCACGGTACCATCGTCGCAACCAAGGTACTAAATATATCCATTACCTCCCTGAATTTCACTGTGTTACTTTGTGGGTTTTGTTCCATTTGCTAAGTCACTTAACACAAGATCTATCTTCTTAACATATTTAAAATGCACAACATCGTATTGTAAACTATAGGCAATGTATTGTACAGCAGATTCTCAGAACTTTTCATTTTGCAGCAAATAACAGGCACCTTTTACTTGCTGAAGGATAACTCACCATTTGCCCTTTCTCTGGCCCCTGCTTCTTTGCATGTGACCATTTTAGATAGCTTGTATAAGAGGAACCACACAAGATTTGTCCTGTGGCTCACTTTTCTCCTGGCACAATGGCCGCTAGGCCCCGCTATCTGTAGACAGCAAGACTTTCCTCTTTCTGAGGCCAGTAGTATCGCACTGTGTACCTCCACCTTGTCTGTCCATTCATCCGTCAGTGAACTTTTGCGTTGGTGCCCTAGTTCTGCTGTTGTATGCAGAGCTGCTGTGAACAGGGTGGTTCTTCCTAGATTGCTTTCTTTCCTCTTTGCAACTTGGTTCCTCAAGCCCTACTCAAATTTTACTTCTTCCCCACCACTGCAGTCCGATATTATTTCTCCCTTTCTGAACTGTAAATATTTGTATTATTCATCTGACCATCAGTCACACACTGCACTGTGATAACTTGCTCACCACAGATCTTTACTATTTTGCTTTGTATGTGGTCTTTTAATGTTTTGAATATGGTTTTCATTCTTTTTAGTGACATGAATCTTTCCTGTAGGTTGAAATTACTCTATTAACTCGTATCCTTTTGCATTCTATACATATCATAATCACTAGTATTTGGATAGCATTTACTGTGAGTAGGCATTAATTTGTTTTACATATCTCAGTTTATTCAGTCCTCACAAGAACTTTATGAAGAAGATGCTATCTTTCTCCTCTTTTATACACAATAAAACCTGAGTTTCCAGGGCCAGAGTCCTTGCTTTATTTACATTAGTTCCCAAATAGCAGAAGAAGGGCTGATCAACTGTCTGGGGTGCAAAGGAGCATAACACACGCACTTGTCTGCAGGGAATTTATCAGAAATTGTTAATGAAACATCTACTAATTAATAACCTAATTGAGAAGCATAACATAATGAAGAGGGATGCTACAGAATAGTGATTCTCAGTTAGAGAAGGCGTCTGTGCTCCAGGGATGTTTGCCGCTGAGGAAATGTTGGGAGGTAATTTGGTTGTCACAATTTCCCCAGGACTGGGTGAAGGGAAATTTGCCATTGTCATCTACTAAACATAAGTGTTGCGCGATCCCCCCTCCCAAACCTATCCCAAGTCAATAGTGCCTAGATTTGGAAACGCCTAGACAAGAATGCCTTATAAGTTTTGGAGTAGGAGAAATCCTTTGGGGTTTTGGGTAAGGTTTTGAACAATGTATGTCAGCTGGCTGTGGAGGAAGGGTGAGATTTGACAAGAGGTTCAGGCAATAGCCGGTGACTGAGTGAATGGCTAAGTTCCAACCAAGTGCTCCAGGGAAGGAATCTGATGGAGCGATACGCATCACATTTCCATAGATGGGAACAGGGATGAGGAGAAAGTGTAGTCATATTGGAGAAAGCCACTTTTTGACTTTTGCTTCCTTGTGGTGCTGGATTTGAACCCAGGGACTTCACAGTGGGGAGCTATATCCGCAGCCCTTTTAAAATTTTTAAATTTTGACACAGGGTCTAAGTCACTATTGTCCAGGCTGGGCTCAAACTTTCAGTCCTCCTGTCTCAGCCTCTCAAAGTGTTGGGATTATAAATCAGCACACCTGTGCCTAGTACAGGGAAGGCCAATTTATAAAACTTCCTTTGTATGTTAATAAAGTAAATAATAAAGGTTTCATGAATCTAAAGTGACATCCATTATGCATAATATTAACAGCTTATTTTTATTGCCCACCTGCCATGCATTACGTTTGTTGTTTTAATCTGTCTTCACGACCACGCTATTAGATGCAGCAGGTAGAATAGGCTTTGGCCTTTTTTTTTTTTTTTTTTTTT